ACACACCACACACACACAACTGACCTCAGTCCAGTAACAACACAAATTTTGAATCCGTTGCTGATGGGGCTCTGTCGGAAGAGGCGGTTGAGCTGAAACGAGATACAGTATTTTTGTTTGCGGAAAATCAACTCCTTTGCCTCCGAAAATCAAAACAGAAATTAAAAACTTAAATGGCAATAAAAATTGAACAATCCAATGGATTTTTCAAAGAAGAAGAAGAAGAAAAACCCCGTACAGATTGAGTTAGATCTGACCATGAGGATATTATCATTCTTAACTCCTTTTTCATCCCACATTTAGGTGACCTATATGTGTCTCCTCATCCAGCTTTCTCCTCATAACGACCCTGTAAGGTTGCCCAAGAGGGCAGCTGGTTCAAGGTTAGCGAAGGAGTCATCATCATCATCATCCTCTTAGAGCTGGAGGGGATCCTACGGATCATCTAGTCCAGCTGCTGTCAAGGAGGCACTGTGAGGGATTCGAACTCCCAACCGCTGTCTCCACAGCCAGATGCTGAAACCTGTTTGGCTGAGTCTCCTCTTTCTGGCTCTCTTGCACATTTTATCATGGATAAATTCCATTTTATCAATGGAAAAAAAAATCCTCACCCTCTCTTTCACAGCAGACTCCAGTTCTTTATATTCTGGAGAGGATGGATCGGTGTTGGTCAAGTTCTCATTGATGATTGTGAAGCCAAGTTCATAACCCAACCCATCTGGAGCAAATCTGGAAGGACGGTGTCCTGGAAGGAAGAACAAGGATGAAGATCAAAATTAGAGAGGTTTATCAAGTCGGGATGGAAATTTTTTGAATTCTTTGACTACAAATCCCATCATTCCCCATGCTGGGAGTTCTGCCTGTCTTGCACCTACTCTGCCGACCCCCAAATTTGGCTCACCTGGAAGGAAGGCCTAAATTGGAAAGCTTTGAGTTTGGGCTAGGCCAAGCTCAGCCTAGTTTCCTGTACAGAAAGGAAGCTCCCAGCTCCCACTGGGGCAGGAACAGGAACTTTGGGTGGAACTCGGCCTAGCTCAGTCTCCAAGCTTTTTGGTTTTTCAGGCCTTTCCTCCAAGGCGAGCCACATTTAGTTGTGCGTAAGCCAGTTAGATCTCCCAGAACAGGGAATGATGGGGTTCATAGTCCAAGAAATCTGAAAATCCAATAGAGTAATTGATAACAAGTGCAGGAGATCTGAAAAATCATCATCTCTCATATCTCGGGGTCTTTATATTCAGGGTGGCCAGCTTTTCTCCTTCCCCTGCAGCCACAAGGTTTATTTGGCTGTAGGGCAGAAAAGGCAGGGTTCTGTCAGAGGGTGGTGGTGGGTCCCCAAAACTGGAACACAGCAGATCTAGTTAAGTCCACCGTTTCCTCCTCAAAATAAGATTTTGTATCAATCCAATTTGAGCAGAGACACGGGACATGTTGGGAAAAAGGCATTTAAGTGTCTTATACAGCTTCCAACTACTCACCAAGATGATTTGAAGGCTCATTATATCCTAAAAAGAAAAAAAAATACAACATTCTTATTTATATTGTATTGTTGTTTGCATTTGCATTATATCGATATGTTTGGAAAGGCCAATGAGAATAATTCTCTAGCTCTCTGATGTTTCACCAGAGGTATGCTGAAGTGCTGTGGGTAAGTTTTTAATCATACAAAATTATAGCAATATGCATTTTTATTCTCTTGTGTCTCCATTAAAACAATTTATTTTTTCTCCATTAATACTAATGTAAGTTTAAAAAAATCTTCCTTGTCTATTTTGAACAAATAAGGAACTCCTTGATTTCAAAACCCATTTGAGCTGCTCACCAGCTTTTGTGGGTCGCTAAACATCATCATCATCATCATCATCATCATCATCATCATCATCATCATCATCATCATCATCTTCAAACGACAGAGCTGGAAGGGACCTTATAGATCATCCAGTCCAGCATTTGTCAAGAAGGCCCTGTGGGGAATTCGAACTCCCAACCTCTAGCTCTGCAGCCAGAGACCTAAACCATTTTGGGGTCAGTCTGTGATGATATATGTAATTTATGAGTTATTTTTCCATCTCGCCTTTCCTTGAATGAGTGCAAGGGGGTGGGCTTGGCTCTGTTCCTCCTCTTACTCCTCCTCCTTGGGTCATCATCACAAGAACATCAACCTCAGTGAGGCCAATAGGACAACCTTGGAAATAACATCTCAACCCAGTCTGTTTCCTTATTCCTTCTTTTTTAAGCTCAAGGAGCAATAACCCACAATTTACCATTCACAAAGAGGCTGGTTTTATCTAACTCATAGGGCCCCAGTTTCGTGAAGCCTTGGGTCTTGTTCACGACTTCGTGGTACACCGCCAGTCGGTCGAAGGAGGGCGCCGTAGCTTCTCTTCTGTAAGCGCAGACCGAGTCTACCCCAGTGCCGGTCCCAGCGGACAAAGATCTGTAAAAAAAATCCAATCAATCTTTTCAATACTTGGTAGAGTTTCACATGCTGTTACAGCTTCAACTCATGAGGGCTTCAATCCTGGCTAGTCCCTTTTTTGAAGGTGGTAGATCTTTTCTAGGTCTACAGAAACAAGCTCGAGATACAGAACCCGATCCAAAAAATTAGGTTTGGCCCAGGCCAAACCTCTTTCAAGGTTCGGACTTAAACCCTGAGTGGTTTGACCCTTCCCACTGATTTTGGAGCTACTGCATGGAAACCATGTGAAATTCACAAGCATGTGGGCTTACCCTCTAGTAAATGGTTCTGTGGGTCTACTCTGTCGGAGTTGAGGAACTGTTTTGAGACTATTCCCCTACCCTTTTTTCCTTTTCATTGGGGATACGAACTCCAAAATGGTTCGTAGCCATTGTATAACTCCCGATTGCCTCCGGATTGCCCTGGAGGTGACATGCTTTGAGCAATCAGTTAAGAGGAGGCAAAAACCCATCCTACATGGAGTGAATTCCCCTGATAAACATTCCCTTCGACTTCAACGAGACACAAAACTTAATTGGTGACTAAATACAGATTAAATTGATCGTTGGAGAAAGCATCAATGAATCACACACTTCCCAATGATTCAGAGAATGTTCACACAACTTTTCACCAGGCCTCACCTAAGAGTCGTAACGTTGCATCTCATGAAAGCCGGCCCAATGCTGCTTGTTTTAAACGTTCGACCCATCTAGGTATAAAAGGACCACTTGTTAGCCAAATGCAAGTTAAAGATAAGAAATTTATTAATTTCCAAACCAATGGCAGGATTGAATTAGTCCAGCGGTGGGCCCCATATGGCCTTCCAATTATTTTTTATAATATATATATTTAAAATTTTTAATATTTTTACCCCACCTTCCCCCACGAAAAGGACCCAAGGCAGTGTGCCTTAAAAAGACAGTATTTGAAAGCTAAAAATAGTAAGTTATTCAAATATTTATTCAAATGGTCTGAAGCTCAACATCAAAAAAGCTAAGATCATGGCCACTGGTCCCATCACCTCCTGGCAAACAGAAGGGGAAAATATGGAGGCAGTGACAGATTTTACTTTCCTGGGCTCCATGACCACTGCAGAGGGTGACAGCAGCCACGAAATTAAAAGACACCTGCTCCTTGGGAGGAAAGTGATGTCAAATCTAGAAAAGCATCTTAAAAAGCAGAGACATCACCTTGCCGACAAAGGTCCGCATAGTCAAAGCTATGGTTTTTCTAGTACCGATGTATGGAAGTAAGAGCAGGACCATAAACAAGGCCGACCGCCGAAGAATTGATGCTTTTGAATTGTGGTGCTGGAGGAGGCTCTTGAGAGTCCCCTGGACTACAAGGAGAACAAACCTATCTGTTCTGAAGGAAATCAACCCTGAGGGCTCCCTGGAAGGCCAGATCCTGAAGCTGAGGCTCCAATCCTTTGGCCACCTTATGAGAAGAGAAGACTCCCTGGAAAAGACCCTGATGCTGGGAAAATGTGAGGGCAAGAGGAGAAGGGGACGACCGAGGACGAGATGGATGGACAGGGTCACTGAAGCGACCCACATGAATTTGATTGAACTCCAGGAAGCCGTGGAAGACAGGAGGGCCTGGCATGCTCTGGGTCATGGGGTCACGAAGAGTCGGACACAACTTAACGACTAAACAACAGCAACAAATAAAAGCCCCAAATTGCTGTGTTCTTCAAAACACCTTAGACCTACCAAGGTGGTAAAAACCTGTTGTGTGGAATCAAAGATTGTGGATCGGGGATCACTCATGGCTGGTCTGTATCGGAGGTTGATGACAGAGAAATTTGTTGTGAATTGTTCAATTCCTGCAGGGCGGTTACTCAATGGGATGAAGCCTGCAGAGAGAAGGGAAAAGGAATAATACAATAGGAGAGAAATCCAGGTCTCCATTTCTTATTCTTTTTAAAATGCCTTTTAGAGAAGTTATAGGATGATGTGGAACCCCATGTGTTTTTAAGGGGTATATATGGCTCATCCCTTCATTAATGCAATGCGACGGACAGACGGACGGATGGATGGATGGATCTAACAATGAATGGATGTATGTATGGATGGATGGATGGGAGGAAGGCAGGAAGGCTTCTGAGATGTTCACATTGTGGTGGCAGAGCCACGCAACAGGATTTGCACCAGCAAAACGAAAACCATTCCTTTTGCATTAACTAGGAAGACAAGCAACTGGACACACCTAATCTTTTAAATGCAACAGTATGAATGCAATTTTTTAATGCTTCTGCATTTCCTGATATATAAGAGCATACTTACCCTGCTGCTCTATTGGTGGTTCATGATAACCTGGAAGAGGCAGAGAGACTTGATAAGAAAACCAAAGCATTGCAGGTGTGAATGGCACCTCTGAGGGATCCAGTCTCATAATGAGCTTGCCACCCATAACTCAGAGGTGGTTCATTCCCTGGCACATCCTGCTGGCATTTGTAAAACCCAACATGAGAAGTTCCTCCCTCCAGACCCATCACTTCCTGTGTTTAACTCTTCACAATTTGGCTTCGAGTCTCTCTAGGTAGTCCACCATGTTAGTGATGGTGTGGGCGCCATTACCTGTAGCTACATCGTAGGTACAACATGGTCCTGTTAACCACTGTTAACAGAAGCAGTGGTATCTCTTGAATCTGACAGAACTTCATTTCGGTTCATTTTCCCCAAGATGCTATCAAAATTCCCCAAACCGGCCATGTTGATGATGGAAAGAACTCAGAAACTGCAACCATCGGAAGGTGTGAGAAACAGAAACAGATGTGTCTCTCACTCTAAAACTAATCTCAAAACCTTGTTGCTTACCATCTACAAAAAGACTTTCCCGGTCGAGTGTATAGGGCCCTATCTTGGTGAACCCATCTGTTGTGTTGATAAACTCGTGATATACCCGCACTCGGTCAAAAGTGGGCATTGTCGGGTCTTTCTGATAGTTGCAGACTCCATCCACTCCAGTTTTCTTTCTCTCGTCAATGGATCTGGAAAAGAGAAACACTCAAAATCTGTGTCCAGATGGGGAAACCTTCCATTTTTCTGGGTCAACACTTCTAGGACCAAATCCTTATATTTCTTCTACTCGCACAATAGTCCATGATGTAAGCAGCTGGACAGTTTCCATATATTTATCTAGGATACACCTAGAGATACTTCCTTTTTCATTATGACATGTGCCAGTCCGCACCACACTTTTCAAGTCTGAATACGAGACCAAAGGTGGCTGTGGCAAGGGATAAATTATGATATATTTCCCCCTAAAACACAACATGCTTTCCAGACAACATTCTTTTGCTCTGCCACCCCTTTCCTCCAGAACAGGATAATTCCTGCAACAATTTTCTGTTCCAAATCTCTTACCTTAAATTGGAAACACTGCATCCCGTCAGCAAAGGGCCGATGCTGCTTTTCTCTGATATGTGATCCAGCTAGACATAAAAAGTAGATTTCAATACATACCTATGTTGGTTTAGCAAGTGTCAGTGTTTTGATATTTTACAAAGACGTCAGCAAACTTCCAAAAAGAGGTCTATCTGTTGCAGAAGGGAGCCTTGGGGCATATGAAAGACTAGGGTGGCAGTTTCAAGATCAACCAAACTTAAAATGTATGGTTGCCTTCCAGTCCCAGAGAACTTACCATTCCAGCGACTGTGTTTCTGGACAGGCTGAACACCCTTGACTGAGGGTTTCCCATCTCAGACCGATACCTGAGGTTGGTTACGGTGAAGTTGACTGTGAAGTTGCCCTCTGGTATTAGATGTGGGATGGTAGAGGATTGAACAATGGAAGAGAAGAAGAGAAGAGAAAAGAGAAGAGAAACTTTAAGAGGCAGCTTGTTCATCAGAGATCTGGTTCATGTTGGGAAAGATGCATCTGGTGATATTTGCAGGACCATCAAGTGGAAGTCCTCTAGAAGTAGCAGTTTTTCTGCTCTGGGAAATTAAGAGGTCCATCACCACCATTAAGAACAAACTGGAAGTGCCTAGAAGATACAGTCTTTTGGTTTGATTTAGCTGTAGCAGTTTTTCTGCTCTGGGAAATTAAGGGGTCCATCACCACCATTAAGAACAATCTGGAGGTGCCTAGAAGATTTGGTTTGATTTAGCTTTTGGTTTGATTTAGCTAAAAGATACAGTCTTTTGTTTGATTTAGCTAAAAATGGTTTGATTTAGCTAAAAATGGCCATGGAGAGCCGTGAACCGGCTAGATGCCACCAATGGTGGAACCTGAGGGCCACCAAGCTCTCAAACCTTGGTCTCGTGGCACCCTGATGGGCCAGTTCTTGGACAGATTTAGCCGAGTGGTCCTCAGCTGTAATTCACAATACTTATAACTACCATTTCTCCCGTGTACCTTACCTGTGGGGTGGATTGCTTCATGGTAACCTGGAATAGAAAAGGAGTCGTTACCAAACGACCAGTCTAGAACTATTTCTGAACTCCATCTTGGACAAATGTCCGCAAGGATAGAGCCGGCTCCAAAGATAAGCCGAATTCCATTTCAACAGCTCTATGGCACACCCATGCAAAGACCAGCCATGATCCTCGAAGCAAATACACAACCGCTTACCGTTGACAAAAAGGCTGTTCTGACTCAACCTATAGGGCCCCATTTTGGTGAAAACGTTGGTCCTGTTAATGATTTCGTGGTACAGTTTTGTCTTCTCCAACTGGGAGACATTTCGGTAAGTGCAGACGGAGTCAACTCCTGTGTCTCCCCTCTTTCCTACAGGTCTGGAAAGGGAAATAAAAGAAGAGAAACCTAGCAGAACAAGTCTGGATTCTCCCAAAGAGATAAAGAAGACATCACCGTTGCCCAAGAGACAGTCAGATCTAGGCAAAGTTCCTTTCTTTATGGGGTTGGTTGAACATTTTGTTCCATACACATTTTTTAAAGTAAGCCCACCCAATGTTCACTTTTTGAGACAGAAATCCTTCTGGGTTTGCACTTCTCCCAAATTTGTTGTACAGTTCTTGGCTCGGACACGGTGTGAAAATGCCTAATCCATCAAAACAGAGTGAATCCTTTCTCTCCGTAGAGCTTGGCAAATGAGTTTATGAGATTTCAACAGCATTTTTAAACGATAGCTCTTAATATTATTCCCTGATGAATTGTGCATTTAATGTCACATCTATTGTTCTTAAGTGTTTATTCTGTTGTTTTAATTGATCATTGAGGTCCACTGATGGGGAGAGAAGCAGCATATCAAATCCCTCAATTAAGCAATCAATTAATCAATAAAATCAATCAACTGTAAGTACCTTAGCATTGTGACGTTGCATCCCAAGTAAGCTGGACCAATACTCATGGTGCTGTTGAGTATCCCACCAAGCTAAGAAAGAGATGTAAGTTGAGTTATCTCCAACGTTTCCATCCTAAATCATCAATACTAGAGCCAGAATCTTCTTGGCCTACTCTGTACACTCAATCATTGGTTTGGGCTTTTTCTGAACTTATGCAAAGAGGTAACCAGTCCTGTGGTAAATGGTGAAGTAACCTTCTTGTTTGAAAAGTGTTGGGTGTCACTGGTGGGATCTAATATGGCTTCAAAAGGGTACAGCTTCTGGACAATTTATGGTGACCCAACCACAGCTATCAGCCAACCTTCCCCCTCCGTTTGACAAACCCACTGGAAAGAAGCCAGGCGTACCAACGTGGTGACCACCACTGCGGTGGAGTGGAAGATATCTGAACCATGGTTTTCCATCTGTGGCCTATGTCTGAGGTTGATGATGGTGAAATTCACCGTGAAATTGTCAACAGCTGGAACAGAATGCAAAAAGTTCAATGGTCAAACTTCTACTGAAGCCATATATTATCCACACTGCCATATATTTCATTTTCTCACGTCCTTTGGATGCTCTTCAAGTAAAATCTTGGTGTTATACCAGTTCAAGCCCTAGGAAGAACTTCTGGTCAGTAAACGGCTGATTGACAGTGGAATGGCCTTCCTCACATGCTGGTAGAGTCACATTTCTCGGAGGTTTCCAAACAAAGATTAGAAGGTCACCAGTCTATAACCTTAGAATGGTAGAGGTGGACGGGACCTTATATAGATCATTAAGGCCAGCTCCTGTCAGAGGGGCACAGTTGGGAATAGAACTCCCAACCTCTGGATCCACAGCCAGGTATCTAAACCCTGGAGCTAGAGGTGGAATTTGTGGTTCTTCAGGAGTTTGGACTAGATGACCCTTCTAGGGAGTCCCTTCCTGCTCTATAAATCTATGGCTGAAAATCCACTAGAAAGCCCATTGAATCAATGGAGCCTCTGGAGCTCTTGACTCACCAAACCGCTAAAGATTTAATGGGCCTACTCTAGTTGCAACATACGACTGGACTTCTACTGATGATTCTGCGACCCCATCTCCATGCCTGTATTTATTGATATATTTTTTAAAATGATTACCACCTGTTTTAAAGAACCCTCTATGAATCAGATCCCATTTTAACTGATCATTCAGAGTGAATTTGCATGTGGTTTATACAACAGTCTTGAAGGTGTGTGTGTGGGAAAATTCTGGGTTTGATAACCAGCACTGTCTTAACTCTGTGGTGAAACAGTTAGTTAAAGGTGGATGCTTTAATACCTTCCAATTAAGATGATTAACACAAACACTTACTTCTTGGCAGGACAGCTTCATTATAACCTAAGAAAAAAAAGGAAAAGGTCACTTTTAGCTCAGAAATTGGTCTTTCGAGATGAATCTAGAGGAAGTATGCACCAATATTCCAGTTCTTTAAGGTTTTGATTTATTCCCTGCATAGCAGAAGATTAATGGTTGACCAATGGACTAATGGATTCAAACAGAGAAGTATGTCCTCTGTTTGGTTGGTTCCCAACCTTGGGCCTCCAGATGTCCTTGGACTTCAGCTCCCAGAAATCCTGTCCTGCAGAGATGGTGGTGAAGGCTTCTGGGAGTTGTAGTCCAAGAACATCTGGAGGCCCAAGGTCGGGGACCACAGCTGTATACAGATTATTCAAGTAGCAAGCTGGTGGTAAACAGCGTGGAAGAATCTTTGTGTTAAATCTTGCTCGGATTTAAAGTTCTGTCTTTGGCCAAGATTTAGGGACACGGAGGGCAAGAAAAGGGGTCAAGCTAAGCAGGTCTAGATTTGAGGAGAGACTGAAAGGACCATCTCTAGAGAAGTGTCTTTGCTCTTTAAGGGCAGGGTATGTGGCCAATATATGCTTTGTTGCCCCAAAAAGACTGGATTGGGACCCGGAGATGAAACTGATACAAGAGCAGGTTTTGGTAAATATAAGGACAGAAGTTCAAAGGTTTTTCAAACCCTTGAAAAACAACAACCTGCGTTTATTCAAATACTCAAAATCCGCTTGTTTACCATTGATGTAGAGGCTGTTTCGATCCAGGGTGTAGGGTCCCATTTCGGTGAAGCCGGTGGTCTTGTTGACGACCTCGCGATACAAGGTCACGCGGTCGAAGATGGGCCCGTCGGAGTTGTTCCGGTAGCTGCAGAGGGCGTCCATCCCGGTGTCTCCGTTCCGCATGGATCTGTAGGAAAGGACAGGAAGGATGTTAGTAAGATGGGTCTGAACCGCTGAAACAGAGGTGGAAGTGACGTATGGAGAAGGACATCCAACAAATATGAGAGGAAGGCTTACTTCAACGATGTCACCTCGCATCCGGAGAACGTCGGACCGATGCTGGTGGCAACGGCGACTCTACCAAACTGAAGAAGAAAGAAGATGTTGAGCGGATGACTAGGATGCCATCTCCTGCACATGGCAAATAATTCAGATTTCCTGGAAGGGCTGGACTTACCAGGGTGCTGAGCACCTTGGCCGCAGAAGCAAAGACCTCTGAACTGCGATCTCTCATCTGTGGCCTGTATCTGAGGTTGGTGACGGTGATATTCACGGTGAAATTGTTGGCTATTGGGGTGGGCGGGACAGCTGGAATAAAACGGTGTCACAAATACTTTAATCAACAAATGCTTTAATCTTCCTCTCCACGTGCTTGGATTTCTCAGGGTTCAGATAGATTCTAATTAAGAGTTTTTAGTCCTGCCGTGTAGCAGGTGGGGAATCACAAACCAACTTTCGTAGGACCCTCAGGAAAGAGAAATAGCCAGATATCGACGTGGGGTAAAGGTACAAATAAATTTGGGTCCAGATTCCCAACGTGAATCATAAAGTTACAACCATTGCAGTTTCCTGATATGAGTCTCTGGGAAGTTTACCAACCAATGCTGGTCTGAGACCCCATCCAGGCTGAATTGGGATCTATTCTGAACACCAAATCTAACTTACGGCTCCGTGCATATCTTAAAGTTGACCCCAAACTTAGCCCTAATTGTCGATCCTATACTTACCCGGTTGCAGGTGGGCTTCATTATAACCTAGAAGGCAATCAAACAAGAAATCATTGCAAGCTAATCAATGTTTTTCAAGGCTGCATCGATGAGAACACTTACTGGAATCAAAACTTTCCTAATTTTGCTCAGATCCAGTGACTGAAATTTCCAGTCTCAAATGGAGATTACGCACAAAAAGGAACTGAATAAAATGGTTACAATGTGGACTTCATCTAACAGAATCCTTTTAGTGTTCATGTATGATTTGCACAAATCACTGTGGCTAATTGTTGCTAATGAATGAAGTGTTGGGGAACATCTTAGTTGCTTGGTTGAGTCCAGGGACAGCTACGCTCTGGCCCCCTATCAACTAGACGCAATCGGACAAAGGTAGTTATACAAACAATGGTGAAATTCTAGTCAATGTGTTTGTAACTGCACATCTTTGGTGTAATTAATCGGGGGGGGGGGAGCGACCATACTCTAAACACTTAGTTACCATTGACGTAAAAACTGTCTCGTTCCAGTTCGTAGGGCCCCATCTTGGTGAAGCCGCTAGTCCTGTTTAAAATTTCTCGGTATAATTTCACGTGGTCAAAAACGGGCCCGGTGGAGTCTTTTCGGTACGTGCAGAGGGCGTCCATGCCGGTGTCACCTCTGTTTCTCACAGGCCTGAGGGAGGAAAGGAAGTACGGTAGTGAAGAAATTTGGAACACCTCAAAGGGAGGAGAAAGAGAAGTTCCCATCGCTGGTTTACATGCAGAGCTCAAACGTGTTGGCCAGATTTTGGAGGACGGCTTACCTCAGAGTAGTGACTTTACATCCCAGAAACGCTGGACCGATGCTGGTGGTGGCAGTGACTCTCCCAAACTGGACAAGAGAAAGGATGTTGAGTAGACCCAACGCAAAGGACCCATGGTCTATTGAATAACAACCAATTCACACCCCCGGAATTTAGCCAGACTTACCAGTGTGGTGAGCACTTTCTCTGTGGACTGGAAGATCTCCGAATTGGGGTCTCCCATCAGTGGTCTGTATCTGAGGTTGGTCACAGTAAAATTTACAGTGCATTTTTCGGTCCTTGGAGTCGGCGAAGCGGCTGGAATAGAAGGAGAATTTTAAAAATCTCACTGCGCTCCTCTGCTGAAGACTTCAACCTGTTTGTATGGCCAGGTTTCCTTAGATAGCAGAGAAATGTTGCTCTGTACTTACTTGCTTCTAGAGGGACTTCATTATAACCTAGGTAGGAAGGGAGAAAAAGGAGAAGCGTTAGTGTTCTACAAAACAGAGGAATTTTGGGGAGAGATAATGACCCGGATGACTTATTAGTGAGATAGTAAAAGCAGTGGAGTTTCAAGGTGAACATGATAGAAGAGCCTCCCCCCCAAAAAATACACACTGGAATATTATCAATTTCATATTATTTTATACCACTTAAGTACCGTTCACATAGAGGCTGTATCTCTCCAGTTGGTAAGGTCCCATCTTGGTAAAACCCTCAGTCTTGTTCACTAATTCATGGTACATTTTTACTCGGTCAAAGACGGGCATGGTGGAGTCATTTCGGTACTTGCAGATGGCATCCACTCCGGTATTATCCCTGTACTCTCTTGGTCTGGAATTATTCCTTACAGGTCTGGAAGGAGAAGAGAGAATTTCAGCAAGGCGCGAAAATTGTCATGGGGTTACTTAGAAGATTTGTGCTTATTTTTTTTTCAGGAAACAGTGCCAAGCTTCACAGAACTATTACAACTCCTGAGCAGGATGGCCACTTTCCTGCACAGGATGGCCGCTTTCCTGCACAGGATGGCCACTTTCCTGCGCAGGATGGCCACTTTCCTACATAGGAATCAGCTAGCAATTGCAGCAAAGATGCAAACCTATGCGGGATTGTGGTTGTTCCTGGAAACAGTGGCTTTCTTGCTGTGCAGAACTCACCAGGAAGGACACAAAGCCACTCAGTTTCCTACACAGGACCCTGAGGGGCAGATACTGAAGGTGAAACACATCACCAGAGTTTCATTTTTGCAGGAAGTCATGAAATCTGTGTGATGTAGAGGGAGGCTGCTGAGGAAGCATCATAAGACTTGGAAAACCACAGAGTGCTCATCGCATCTCCAGGGAAATGTAATGAAAGTAAGTGTTGTATCAGCAAGACAGACTAGAAGGTTGTGTGCTTTAGAAGACCCTACCTGAAAGCTTTCACTTCACATCCCTCGTAGACTGGGCCGATACTCGTGTTGAGGAGTTTCCTGTCCAGCTGTCAAAGAGAGGAGAGGATACGTCAATTCAAGAAGAAGGGCCAAACCTGGCTGAAAGTCATGGATCTGAGCTCCAGCGGAGCCAGACTTACCAGGTAGAGGACTGGAGCTTTGGTGAAGTTGAATGTTTGTGAGTTAACAATCCCCATGTCATCCTTATATCTCAAGTTAGTGATGGTGAAATTCATGGTGAAGGGTTTAGTTGAGGGAGCCGGGGGTCGGGTGGTTGTGGGTGAAATAGCTGGAGAAGAAAGGGGAAAAGGCGATGATTTGCTGATGTTCTTAAATTGGACCTTGCCATAATCAACCCTGGTTTTCTTTTAGGTTTTCTGTCTATGTGGAGGGATACTCACTTGCTTCTCTGTGGATTTCATGATAACCTAGGGAAAATCAAAAGATAAACGTTAGTGAGGTAGCATCCAAAGCAGCGGTGGTCAGCTGAAACTGGCGGAAAAAATCCAGAAAATAGACAGTGGTACACCATCAACATCCAAAAGATTGAGAACTCTTTGGCTACCGTTGACATAGAGGCTGTATCGGTCCAGGTGGTAAGGCTCCATCTTCGTGAAACCCTCAGTCTTGTTCACTAATTCATGGTAGACTTTCACTCGGTCAAAGACGGCCTTGGTGGAATCATTTCGGTACTGGCAGATGGCATCCACGCCAGTATCTGGACGATATCCTTGTGGTTGGGAACTGTTTCTTACAGGTCTGGAAGAATAGAGGAGAATTTATCTGGTTGCCGCAAAGAAGGAGAAAAACAGGGAACCTCTTACGCAAGATAAACAATGCAGAAATAACTGTAAACAAGAAAGAAGCAAACTGAAGAATGAAAGAGAAAATGCATATTGCTCAATTTCTTTCTCAGCATTTCAAGGCTAAGAAAAGACTAATCAGTATAGCATAGCCACTGAGGAACAAACCACCATAAAAGATAGACCAATTGTGAAAAAAGCAGCAAGTAAGCCTATTATAGAAAAGAGCGGATGACAATTCATTCTCAAGCCAGTCAGAGAATCCTACAATCAGTTATGTTGCAGTTATGGTGTTCTAAGTAGAATTGATTAGAAGATTAGTTTCAAGCCCACTTGGGGGTATTTAGTGAGTGTGAGTGAGGGCAATTTCTAAGATGCTTAGCTACAGAATGTTCTGAAATCTGGCTCATGCTGGGTGAAATTTGGCTCATGCTGGGTAGAGATCACAATGATGGATTGCCTGTTATCTCACTAAAAGATGTTCAGAGCGGAAAAGAGGTTCACAGATTTTACAAAGGCTTACCTAAAAGTCGTCACTTTGCATCCCTCGTAGACTGGGCCGATGCTGGTCTCACGGAGTTTCCCATTGAGCTGTCAAAGAGAGGAGATGAGTACATCAGTCCATCTGGAGCAACCAAATCTTGGCCAAAATTGTTCACTCTAACTCCAGTGCAGCCAGACTTACCAGGTGGATAACTGGAGCCTCGGTGAAGTTGAAAATCTCAGAATGAAAAATCCCCATTTCTTCCTTAAATCTCATATTGGTTATGGTGAAATTCATGGTGAAGGGTAGGAAGGCAGGAGATGGCGTTGGGAGAATGCCAGGTGGAACAGCTGGAATAGGAAGGGAGAATGCAACGATCAAATCCGTTTCATCCTTAGAGTTTTTATAAACAACAGTAATTAAGGAATTTTCAGCTCTACTCACCTGCGGGTGGAGGAGCTTCATGGTAACCTGTGGAAAGAGGAAAGATTATTCTTAATGAGACCAAAAAAGCAGGGGAGACTCGGAGTTAAACTGTGGAAAATCCCACAAAGCACACACCGATCCACTGTCTACATCCAAGTAATGTAAAACAACTTGGCTACCGTTCACATAGAGGCTGTATCTCTCCAGTTGGTAAGGTCCCATCTTGGTGAATCCTTCAGTTTGGTTAACCAATTCATGGTACACTTTCACTCGATCAAAGATGGGCGTGGTGGAATCATTTCGGTACGTGCAGATGGCATCCACTCCAGTATCTGGACGATATCTTTGTGGTTGGGAACTGTTTCTTACAGGTCTGGAAGAACAGAGGAGAATTTTAGCTGGGTGCCCAAACAAGGGGAAGAAAAGAGAATAAAGTTGTACGAGTTACATTGAATAAACAACAGTAAAGTGATATCAAGTTATGACAACAGCAGCAACTAAGTCAACCAAGAAAAAGAATGAGATGAATCATCCCATCGTGTCTCTTTCCCAAGGAAGACCAAGAATTGCCCACTAAATTCCATAGGATTATAGTGTCCTATAAGGAGCTGAGTATTAGAAGAGATTCGTGTCCATTGGGATCATGCAGAACGTGTTGAGTTTTGTCATGGAAAAACTCCAGGAAGTTTGGAAATATGGCTCAGCCTAGAGATGCACACAATGTAACGTTGATGCCCAGGGACCACAGTGAGGGTTTGTCTGTTTTCTCACCAAGAGGCCACAGGAGGAGAAAAGAGATCCACACATTTTATGAAGGCCTACCTGAAAGTAGTCACCCTGCATCCCTCATGTACTGGGCCGATGCTGGTATCACGGAGTTTCCCATTGAGCTAAGGAAGAGGCGACATAAACAATATAAGCTCAAGAGGAAGTTCTAAACCTGGCTGAAAGGAATGCATCTGAACTCCAAGGGAGCCATATTTACCAGGTGGATGATCGGCGTTTTGGTGAAATTGAATACTTGGGAATTAAGAAACCCCATGTCTTCCTTAAACCTCAAGTTGGTGATGGTGAAATTTACGGAGAAGGGGATGAACGCAGGGGCCGGCGTTGGGCTTTGAGTTGGCAAAACAGCTGGGATTGTGATGGAGGAAATGTCAACATTAGTGTTGAAGTTTTTCTGTAGAAACTTGCCATGATCAAAAAACTAATCTTTTTTAAAAAAGATTTTGTGTTACGGACATCGGGTATCAAATTTTCATTATACTCACTTGCTGGCAAGATAGTTTCATGATAACCTGGGAACAGAGAACAGAGAGTTATCAGTGAAGCAGTGAAGTACACACCAAAACGGTTGGAAAAAACTGTAAAACACACATGAAGAGACCATATACATGCAAGTAATTTAAAAACCAGTTGACTAACCATTGACGTAGAGGCTATATCTGTCCAGGTGGTATTGCCCCATCTTGGTGAAACCTTCAGTCTTGTTGACTAATTCATGGTAGACTTTCACTCGGTCAAAGACGGGCATGGTGGAATCATTTCGGTATGTGCAGACGGCATCCACCCCAGTATCATCCCTGTACTGTGTTGGTCTGGAATAATTTCTCACCAGTCTGTAAAGAGAAGAGAGAATATCAGCCAAGTGCCAATACAAGGAGAAAGCAAAACAAACAATTGCACATAATTGTCATGCACAGAGACCACAATATATCATCTGTTTTCTCAGTGAGAGGTGATCAAAAGGAGAATAGGGATTCACACATTTTACCAAGGCCTTACCTGAAAGCTGTCACTTTGCATGCCTCATAAACTGGACCGATGCTGGTCTCATGGAGCTTTCCACTGAGCTGTCAAAGAGAAGAGATGAGGTCATCAACCCAACAGGAAGAGTGAAAATCTTGGCCAAAAGCGTTCACCCTTAACTCCAGCAGAGCCAGACGTACCAGCAACATGACTGGAGCCTCGGTGAAGTTAAATACTTGGGATTTCAGAACTGTCATGTCTTGGCTAAACCTCAGGTTAGTGATGGTGAAATTCACGGTGAAGGGGATGAGCGCAGGGGCCGGTGTTGTGCTAATAGTGGGCCGAACAGCTGGAGAAGAAAG